GCCAGCCCCGTGGGAAGATCCTGGGTTAAACCTGAGCCAGAAAAGCCTCTGCAGAGAAGGTGCTTGCTGGACTGGGACAGAATAAGGCTTTCGCAGCGTCTGCTCTTCAATTTCACACATGCCATGAATAGCGGTTACAGAGGTTCATCTCCATGGCAGACGCGTCGCATGTATCGGTCTGCCCCGTGCCCGAGCACCTGGGACCAGCCCGTGCAGCGAGACCCTGGGTCCTGCCAGCCCTGCGGCTTCCCGGAGCCCCCTGGAACCCGGCAGCGTTTGGTGGTGGGTACACATCCCCGTGGTTCCGGTGAAGAGATGAAATGGCTGAGCTTTGCACCCTTCCCACGGCACACTGCCCGTGGCCAGCGCGCTCGTCCTTCCCAGGGCCTTCATCTCATCCCAGCTCCGGTACCAGCTGCATCCCATCCCAGCGCCCTTCAGGGGCATGGCTAAACCAGCCAAACACCGAACACAGCCCGTGCAGCTTCCCTTCCTCCCCCTCCACCAGATCCCAAAGGATGAGCTTGCCCTCGGGCAGACACGGTGGCCAGGGCTGTGCTGGCCCAGTGAGCATCACTGAGCTGGAATAAAGCTCTTCCAGAACAGGGAACAGCTGGGAAGCTGCTGCCTGGGGAGGGCTGATCCTGCTGCCCCTTTGGTGTCCCCCCCTCTTCTGCAGCACCCACGAGGGTCGCCCCAGCCAGCCGTGGGCTGAGCTGCAGCCTGGGCTGGGGGCAAAAATGCATTCACAATGTTGCAGTGAAAATCCCGCTCACGGATGCGGGGGCGGAGCGGCGAGTTTTCTGCCTGAACCCACACATTTGGGTGGGGAGACACTGCTTTTGGGGTTGCGTGGTGTGCAGAGGGAACGGCCTTACAGGCGAGATGCTGTCAGGGGGCTGGTTTGGCTCGGAGGGACAATTCCGAGCGCATCAGCGGTTTTCAAAGAAGGCACAACACGAGGAACCGGCAACACAACCCCGATGGCCGCGTGGTGAAGGACCCAGTTATGAAAGCAGCCGGTTACGAAACGCCTGTTACCAAACCTCCGGCTGCACCTCGCTCCCGCGATCCGCACCCACGAGGGCTCGGAGCATGACGGAGAGGAGCCTGCAGCACGCTCGCTGCTCGGGGGATGCACCGGCAAACCCAGGGACACACACACCGGGAAACATCCGTGTGCTCAGCCGTGATGCCCAGGCTCCCGGCACCCTCTGAGCTCAGCTCCGAGCTCCCTCCTGCCTCTTGCATCCTGTCCTGCATCCCTGCTCAGCTGGGGTGCGTTGCTGCAGCTCTGCAGCCTGGCATCACCTCTGCGGGCTGCTCCTAACGGAGCTGCATCATTCCTTGTGTCTCACAAAAAAAAGGATTGAGTGCCAGGGACAGGTTATTTTAGGCAGGTTTCCCCATTACCATGGTCACTATGACCTGAAAAATAGACCTGTCGGAGAGGGCTGCAGTACTAATGCCAGTAGAGCTATGGCTGGAGCTAATCCAAAATCCAAGACGTGTGTTTCACAGGCCCTTGTCCCATCTTGGGATGGAAACAATGCTTTTGGAGAATTCTCATTAACAGAAACAGAGGAACAGCCCTAGAACTCCACCCTCCCCCTGTGACACCAGGGCGAGCAGCCGGGGTGGGACGCAGCCTGTGAAATCAGAGGCTTCCTCTCCCAACCCATCCTAAGAAACCCTCTGAATAGAATTTCCCAAAAAGCCTTCACAGCATTTCAGCAGCTCGCAGCACTGCAGCGGGGACCTGGGGCTGGAGCATCAGCCCTGATGCTAATTGTCCCACGAGGAAAATGAATGAACAGCCCTGGCAGCCCACGGGAGAGCATCAGGAGAGGACAGGCACCGTTATCCAAGCGGGAACACCCAGGTCTGTGTGGATACAGGTTTGATAGCGAGGCAGTAATTACAGGAGGGGCTTCAAGCAGAGCGATAACCTGGGTGGACTGAGAGTGAGTTAATACTGGGTCCTGCCGAGCCGTAAAATCCTCATCACCCCCTTGGAGAGGATGAGCCCGAAGCGATGCCGCAGGACAAGGCTGTGCACGTTGTCCCCTCTGCACTGGGAAGGATGGAGAAAGGGTCTGGAGCAGGACCATCCAGCTGCATTGCCACGCTCCCCCCAGGCTAGCCGTGCCCATGGCTGGTCCCCCATGGCGGTGATGTCCCCAGCCTGGAACCAGCGGTGCCCCCGGGTGACAAATATCATGCAAATACCCTGTTTTCTGCAGCTCGGACTCTGTGAGGACCTGAGCATCCTCCCTCTTTGATAAAGGCTGTTGGCTCAAACCTTCTCAAACCTCCTGGGAGTGAGCAGAGAGAGCCCGAAGGTGAAGGACCTGCCCATGAGCAGCACCCCGGGGCGTGGGGTGGCACGGGGAGCCAAGAGCCCACCCAGCTCCCCTCCAACTCATCCCCATCCCGGGGAAACCCCCCCACTGGACAGCTTCAGGGACAATTAACTTAATTTCCCAGGTTTAACAATGGCTCACAAGCCTTCCCAGTATCCTCCCTCCCTCCCAGCGCCCCCATTCCCTGGCTACTGCATATAAAAGGTTCCAGTTTAAAGTGGGACACAGCTCGCCATGATTCATGGCCACGATCTGAGTTTTTTCCCCACTCAACATCTTCCTTGACAAGCTTTCAGCTAATGAAAAATGCCAATATACTGAAGGGCAGTATGAGACATGAGGTGATAATGGAGCGAGACGCTAAGGATCAGGGGAGGCAGATTTGTAACTGGTTAAAAACTGGATCACCCCAAACCCCAGCTTCTGCCGTGCAGAATGAGTGATGGTTTCTGGTCTTCTCCCTTGTACAAAGGCTTTTTTTCCTTTATGATACAACCTTTGGGATGGAATTGTTTGCATCCAGAAAATAAAAAGGAGGAGGATGCACATAACAGCTACGTAAATTTGACCTGATTCATTATCCCCCCCAGCCTGCAAAACTGCCTTTTGCTCCTGTCACTTGGTGGATCAGGCCATGAGAGCAGTGGTAGCCCCTGATAGCAAGAAGGATTAATAATAGCATTGCTGTTGGGCTTGGAAAATAAAAAAAGACCTCATTGTGCACAGCTGTATGGCTTATCTGCAGCGGGGGATGCAGGAAGAGCAGAGCTGTGACAGTAAGTGACACCGGGGACGCGGGAACCGTGGATTGGCACAATTCGCCTACTGCTCCGCATCAATCTCTCACCCCGTCTCCATTCCTGAGGCTGCTGAGCCATCACCCAACCGCAGTGCCGCCGGCAGCCCCTTTCCTGTACCTCCCAGGGTGTAAATTGAAGGCAGGAGGGTTCAGGGAGCTGCCTGATTCGGGCTGCTCGTCCCCCCGGGAGGTGCCAGCCCGCGGCATCCCAGCTCACCGAAGTGTCCTCGGAACACGACGCAATGATGTTCTCAATGAAGGGATTCCACTTGATGTCCAGCACGTTGCCCTGGTGACCGCAGACTTTGGGGTAGTTTGGTTCGATCCGGCCTGTCTGTAATTTAAAATAAACCAAAAAGAAGAGGAAAAAAAATAAAATTAGTGATAAAGTTGGTCTTTTTAAGGCTGGGGCCTTGTTAGGGGAGAGAGCTCCATAGCTGACACTGGGATGGGGGTTTTTGGCCGGAGGAGAGGCCCGGCTGTGTCGGCGATTGCTTTTACTCCATCGCTATTCCAGGGGCAGCTGCAGCTGATCCGTGTACAAGGAGGGGTTTCCACAAACAGCCCTGTGGGGCTGCCCACTCCCAGGGAGGGAGCCCACCACCCGGGAGCTCAGTAGGAATCTTTGCACAACCACCCAAAACCAGGGACAGAAGGGCTGGAAGGCTCCAAACCAGCCCTCAGGGCGGATCAGCTACTTGATGGGATCCTTCCCCACATCTTGAAATCCTTGGAAGACTCTTAGGGACACCCGGGTCTTGCCATGCCAGCAGAGCGAGGACGGCGCGCGGCCCTTGGCACAGCCTCCTCACCAGGTTCCCACCCCAGATGGGTTTTGGGAAGCCCCTGCTCCTCGCAGGGACCTTGGCAGGCGGCCACCCTGCCACCCTTCCTTCCCGTGTCCTGGCTCCTTGCCGCGGCTGGAGATGGGAGCACACTTGGAGCGTGCAAACTAGGTCAGCGCAACACAGCCACTAAATATTTCATGGCCCTTCCAGCACTGACCTTTTAACGTATCGAGCTCCCGGCTCCGTTTAACGCGAACAAAGGACAACACGCTGCATTTTCACCATCCGCAGCTAAGGGCAATGGGCAGCAGCGCCCTGGACAGCCGGATCATGCCCAGGGCTCATCCCTGTGCCATCGCCGCCCGGAGGGTTTATTTGAATTAATTTGCTCCCAGGGAGACACGGCTCTAATTGCCAGGCCGTGCTGCATGGGAGGCACGGGCCAAGCGGCTCTGCTTGCCTGGATTCCATCAGGCAGGGATGGAGACGCAGAAAAACGAGGCACTGAGACACACAGGCGAACACAACTCTCCCCGAGCACGCTTTGCTCATCCTAAAATCCTTTTCATAGGCACTATTAGACAAGTGAAAAGCCAGTTCTTGCTCAAATTGCTACAACAGCTCTAAGCCATCCCTTGGCCACGGCCCATATATAAGATGAGAACTAGGCTGTCTGTAAAACACCGGGGACTTAGTTACGTGGGTCAGTTCAGTTATTGAGATAAAGGAAAAATGAATTAAGGTGCCTGTTCTCACTGCTTTCAGGCCGTGACCGAATGGCCATCTCCAGCTCCATCGCCGGCTGGGTGCCAGGGTCACTGGCAGTCCTTCCCCTCTGCCCTTCGTTACAAACACTGACTAAGTCCCCGGCATGTGACGGGGATGGGATCGCATCCTCGTTAGCTGGTCTGTGATGGGCACTTAACGCGAGACTGATTTGTAACTCGTGAGCCTCTTCGTAATTAGGGCACGTTACGCAAATTCCCTACCCCTACAGCTCAGGGTTCGGTTTCCCTTTGGTCAGTGACACCCATGGTGTGACTTTAACCTCCATCAGGGCCAGTTTCAGGGGTGTCAGGACAGGGATGGATGGAAGAGCTGGGGCTGTGCCCACCTCCTCCTCCAGCTGCCGACAGCATCACTTTGGCTCACTGGGAGAGCCTAAATTCTGATAATTCTGCCCATCAGCAACAGCCTGGCTCAGACCTGAGCTGCCACGTCAGCCCTGGACCCTTAACTGCCTCCTGTCGTCACTAATGCATTCTCCTCCCTGCATTTACCTGGCAGCTTTGCCCCAGATCAGCAGTGATCGAGCACACAACATTTCTGACACTATCAAACAGCGGAAAGGACAGTTTCCTGGTTAATGCCCCAGACTTGGGGCTTATTAGTGCCATTATAATGGGGTTTTAAGGGATAAAACAAGCAAAGTGACTTTCTGACAGTTTTGCCAGGGTGACCCAAACCTCTGGCAATCAGTGGCTCTGGATGATGCCACGGCCAGAGGGACAGTCTCCTGAAACCTCTCCACAGCCCCTCTTTCCCCCAGGACACTTTCCTTTCCCTAGATTACATCAAGCACCGCTGCAAACATCGGAGCATCCCGTAGGAAGAGCAATACATTAAAGTACGCACCCCCCCTGCCCCGGATTTTACAATTCCCTTTTACACAGTGGCAAAGACAGCCCTTGGGAAAGCTCCCATCATGCCAAACCTGCACGGTGGGGGGCAGATGCCCCCAGCATCTCAGGGACAGTCACAAGACACCAAGATCTCCATGCTGGGAGCCAACGGTCCCCCAGGAAGAGTGACACCCAAGGAGGAGCATCACCTGACCAAGCAAAACAGTACATGAGCCGTTACACAAGGGAAATCATTAGAGAAGACAAACCCTTCATTTAAATAAATAAATGAAGCCTTTCTGAGACAGAGCATAGAAAACAGCTTTGATCAAAAAGTTAGTTTTCCACCAAATTGAACTTTCCAAAGGGGTGGAGGGGAAGCTCGAGGAAAATGTTGCTTTTTAGTAAAAACATCCCAATATCTAAAAGCAGCATTCCCATTCTCTCAAGGCCCCGGTGTGCTGGGTGCTCCTGCTGGGGTGGGCACCCGGGAGGGGCTGTTTGCCCCGACAGGTGCTCGGGACACGGGGCGAGAGCTGGGGAGATCTGCAGAGCCCCCAGGTCAGCTGCTGCCGTCACCCAAACTCCACCACAAAATGAAAAGTTATGAAGAAACCTCTGATTTTTCACGTTATTTAAGATTTCCCATGGAGAAAAAAACACTATTCTGCTCTTCTTTCACAGGCGGGGAGGAGCTGGCACATGCGGGAGAGCAGCTTGGGAGAGGACAAGGTGCTTTGGGTCTCATCCTGCACAGGAGCAGCATACGGAGCAAAGCACGAGCTGCAGGGATGCAGCCCCCTGGGACAAGCAGCTGAGATCTGAGAAGGAAAAACCCAAAGGTGAGACACAGAAGGTGGAGGGAAACGCAGCGATGCCCATGCTTCGTTAGCGCATGCAGCTCTGCCTCCCAACCCTCCTGGGAATTAATGGGATGCAAAGCACAGCTTTATGGGTTATTATATTAAGTACACTGGCAGACATCGCTTACCCAAACGGCTCAGATTATCCAGCTTCCCCCCTATTTTCATATTTGCATTAGCATGACATTATTAACACACTGTCTAGAGCAGAAATTCCTCCGGCAGCTGCTGAATTCCAGGCGGACAGACCTTTTAACGGCACCAGTTAATATGCAATCACTTTAATTTCGAGCAACCAGCCGAGCGATTTCCTTTTCAAAGTCGATTTGATGGGGTTTGTCAAAATTCATTAGGCTTTCAAGAGGACAAAACAAGAGTTTGGTTACTAGGGATGGTTGCTGCCCAAGAAATCGGGAGTTTGGATTACAAGTCGTTGAAGGCAGGAGCTGCCGCAGGCACAGCCCCTGTAGCAGCGGCAGGTTGTGCCCATGCCCGGGGCACCTGAAAGAGGAGAAGGAGCCAAATAAAGGAAATACAAAGGAAAAATAAAATAAAAATCAGGGATTCATGCTTCCCATAGCTTCCCATTGAGTCATCTTAGAGGGACCTCGCCAGCAGCCGTGCATTAAGCCGCGGTGAATCCTAATCGCTGGATCCCTGGCCAGGGGAAGCTCGGTGACCCAGATACCGTCCCCTTCGAGAGCGTGTGCTGTGCCGTGGCTCTGCAGGCTCCAGCAGCTCTGATGTTTTCCATGGCATGGGCTGGAAGGAGCAAATATTCCAGCAGCTCCAGGCCCTCAAGGCTCTCCCCCCTTTGCTGGAGCAATGAGGAGTGCTGGAAGAGGTGGAAGTTATTTGTATTGTGTCTGAGGGAGAAAGGACAATGAATTTTTAAATTTGATTTAATTCAGTTATTTTGCTGCTCAGCGACAGAAAAGGAAGCCTTCCCCTGGAAATGGCTGGAACAGCAGGAAGGGCAGAGGGATGGACACAGAGCCCTGCGAGGTCGGAGTGTCGGGGAGGGGAACACCATCACTGGGAGGGGCTTTATCCCTCTTTATTCTTAGAAGCATGACTTCTAAGCACTCAAAGTCATCAAAGGGTGGCTGTGGGCAGTGTGGACATCCACCCCAGTGAGCCTCTGACCATCCTCAGGCAAAGGGAAGCGTTGTCACTCCAGACCCTCTAAGCAGCACAAGCTGCGGTCTCACGGGGGCAGCAAGCCACGTTTGCTTCACAACAGACCAGCAGAAAGCCCAGATAAATCCTTTTAATATACGTACTTGATAAAAACTGCTGTTCACCAGGTTCCCTGGAAATACAGACCCAGAACATGGCCAGATCTTCATGTTTCCTCCATGGAAAACTTTACACCATCTATAGCAGCATCCCTCCGGCATCAATGCCAGCACCCCCCTGTCCCTGGGAGAGAAACTTCCCGAGGAAGGAGCACCTAGCCTCAGGGACCAGCCAAGGCCACCCTTCCCCACCCAGCAGCTTCCCACAGACACTCCCTGATCCCTTATTAGCTTTTAGAGGGGGATCAGGGAAGCGCTGCTTGAGCCATAGGGGATTTACAGGGTTTCCCAGGAAATCCTTGAGTACACACAAGTCTCCACGGGCTGAGATTAAGAGTAAATACATTTACTGCTGTCTTGTTAAAGGTCTTTCATACTTGAGAGCCAACGAGGAGGAAATTACACAGATTTCCCTGACCCGGGGCACATCTCTGGCTGATTTCAGCACAAGGAGAGGTTGCTGGGGGTTAACCGATCATTAGGAGCCAAGTCAAATGGAACTAGCAGAAGCGAGAGAAAAAAAAAAGGACAAACCCTTGGCAGGGACCCAGAAAACTCACTGCCACGACGAGCTGCCGGTTGCGCATCTCCCCCTGTGCTAGCAGGGACCAGCCCCCAGCTGAGAGCCCACGGGAAGGGGGAGGATGAGGAGGGGTCCTGCGATCACATCTGCAGCACGAGCTGTTTAAGCAAAGGGCGGTGAGAGGATGGGCGACAGGGCAAAAAATTCCCCAAGGAAATTCCCACATGCAGGTGGAAGGAT